GCAAGGGCAGATGGAAAAAGAGACAACAGAGGGATACTTTTGAGCTTCATAGAAATGTTCTGTATCTTGATTTGTGTGGTGGTAATTCTGTGGGTATATATATATGTATTTGTCAAAACTCATCCAATTATAAACTTTAAATGGATAATATATACAGTACATAAATTATAAAGTTCACTTTGAACAGAAACAAATTACCCTCCAGTTGAACAATAGTGAAAATTAATAAAACCAAAACTTAATTATTTGAAAAAAATCAATAAAATTGTTAAGTCTTTATTCAGACTAATGAAACAAAGACAAATTACCAATATCAGGAATTGAAGAGAAAAAAAATCACTAGAGATCCTTTAGATAATAACAGATTAAGAAAATATTATTAAGAATTTTGTCAATTAAGTAACTTTTAAAAAATGAAAAGTATCTTGAAAAACACGAATTACCAAAACTGAGTCAACAGGAAATAAACCTGAATTATTAAGCTGATATATGCTGTAGAAATTAAATTTGGAATTAAAAACCTCCTACAGAGAAAAATCAGCCCCAGATGGCTTTACTGGTAAAGGCTCTGAAATATGTAATGTAGAAATAATACCAATCTTATACAAAATTTTTCAGTAAAGAAAGGAGGGAATAATACACCATAGCCCATTTAATGAGGTCACTCAAACTCTCACTGTCGTCAAGTCAATTTCAACTCAACCCCTCCTTGGGTTTCTGAGGTGGTATCTCTATGGAAGTAGATTGCCCAGTCTTCCTTCCCAGGAGTGGCTGGTGGGTTTGAACTGCCAGCATTCTGGTTAGCAGTCAAATGCCTTACGCACTACGCCACCAGAGCTCCTTTCAATGAGGCCAGTATACCAAAAGTAGACAGAGATAACGCAAGAAAATAAAATTACAGATCAATATGCCTCATGAATAGGGACATAAAAATTCTTTTTAAAAATCAGCAAATTAAATCCAACAACATATTTGAAAGAATGACATCATGACCAAGTTTATCACAAGAATATAAGGTTGGTTGGACATTTGAAAAACCACTATTAACTCATCATTTTAAAAGAATAAAAAGGAAAAATTATGCAATCATCTTAAAAGAGACAGATAAAGCATTTGACACATTAAATACCTAACAATGATTTTTTTTTTTTTTAAAAAAAAAAAACCTTTCTGCAAATTAGGAAGAAAAGAAAATTTTTTTAACCAAAAAAAGGGTATCTCTGAAAAACCTACAGCTAACATCATCCTTAAAGGTAGCAAAGGCTGATTAAATTCACCTAAAGAGCAAAAGCAAGGCAAAGAAGTCCACTGCTACCACTATTCACTAATCCCTCTTCACTACTGGAAGTGCTAGGTAGTGCCATAAGGAAAGAAAAAGAAACAAAAGACACAGTGACTGGAAAAGAAGAAGTAAAGCCATCTTTACTTATGGACACCATGATTGTAAAGAAACCTAAGGACTCTGCCAACTAACTACTAAAACTAAAAAGTAAATTTAGTTATAATCATAGAATAAAATTCAGTATTTTTTTTTAAATCAACTGAATTTCAATTTTCAGCCACAAACAGAAATTCAAGATTTTTTTAAATACTATTTACAACAGCACCCCAAAACATAAAATACTTAGGGATAAGTTTAGCAAAATATATTTAACATAATACACAATTGATTTTCAACAAAGGAGCCAAAGCAATTCAATGAGAAAAGGAAAAAGTCTTTTAACAAATGGAATATTTCAACTGAAACAACTGAATATTTATAAAAGGAAAAAATGAACTTCAATGCTTTCCCACTCTATACAAGGGAATAAAAATTCAAGATGGATCACAGAGTTAAAACATAAAAACTAAACATGAAATCAATACTATAAAAATATAAAACAAACTAAGCTATAAAGTATAAATAGTTATAAACAAAAACTAAAAACTCTCAACTATTCAAAACAAAAAATAGGAGAATATCTTAACAACATGAGTATAGCCAAAGATTTCTCAGACAGCCTAGAAAGTACTAACTAAACATTTAAAAAAAAACAACAGACTTTTTTTAACAAATAAGACTTCACAAAATTAAAATATTTTGTTAATTAAAAGGCAGTTAAGACAAGCTGTTGCATTGTGGGAAACTGCAGTCAATGTCATGAAACAAAGTGTATGTGAGATGTGCATGGAAAATGAATTTGATTCTGCAGATAAACTTTCACCCAAATCACAATAAAAATTTTAAAAAAAGGGCAATTAAGACAATAGACAAGCTACAAATTAGAAGAAAATATTTTCAAACAATCTAACAAAAGACTTGCACCCAAACTATATAAAGAATTCCTTCAAATCCATAATAAAGTTATTTTTTATAGATAAAAGGTCTGAGAAGCACTTCAGAAATGAAGATACACAAATAGCCAACAAGCACACCAAAAAGTACTCAGTATCGCTAGACTTCAGGGACATAAAGATTAAAACCACAACAAAATGGCTAAAATTTAAAAGGCAAAGAATGGCAACTGAAACTCTAATATATTGTTGGTAGGAGTGTAAAATAACATAACCAATTTGGTAATTCAATCCAGCATTCTCATTAAATTAAACACACACCTACTTTTTTGCTTAATACAGAAATCCTCTACTTGTACTGGAGAAAAATAAGACTTGTACAAAAATATACCCAAGAGAAATAAAACGGGGGGGGGGGGGGAGGACCCTTGTAACAGCAATGTTCATAGCAGCTTTAATCATAATGGTCAAAAACCAGAGATTACACTAATGACCATAAAAAGGAAAATGGATAAACAAAATCAGTATATTAAAACAACAGATCATTATTCAACAATGAATTACTGATACATTCAACAAACATGGATGAACTGCAAAAACATTATGCTAAGTAAAAGAAGCCAGACACAAAAGATTTACCTACTGTACGATTCCATTTATATGAAGTTCTCAAGGGATAACACTAATCTATATTGGGAAAAAAAAAATCAGAACAATGGTTTTAGGGATTATGAACAGAAACATAAACTTTCTTGGGTGATGAAAATATTCTGTATCCTGATGGGGTGTGTGTTACACATTTATATGGCTGTCAAAACTCTAAAACCACACACTTAACATCTAAGCATTTCACTTTAAACATTTCCTCAATTCAAAAAAAAGTAAGTATTTTTCTGAAGTAGTCTTTCACTCAACAAATATTTGTTGGTCTACTATAGCCTATTATAGTTTGTACATATATGAACAAATACTTGATTGCCTACTACTGAGGGTATTAGTAAAGGCAGGATCCAGAAAACAGATGTTACAGTATATAACAACACACACTTGCAAGCAAAGAAATGCAAAATAATGTTAGTTACCATAATGAAAATCACACAGAAGACAAAGCTTTTGAACCAAGAAGTGGAGAACAGTAGATTGCCACTCAAAGAATATTACAGGCATACACAACATATACAAAATTAAAGTAATAAGAAAAACCACAGTACATCTAGTAATTTGGTACACTTAAAATATGAGGGGGAGGATGGGGAACTACTGGAGAAAAAGCTGGATAAGATACCAAAACCAAACTCACTACCATCAAGTCGATTCTGACTCATAGTGACCTTATAGCACAGAGCAGAACTGCCCCATAGGGTTTCCAAGGCTGTAAGTCTTTATGAAAGCAGACTGCTTGATCTTTCTCCTGCAGAGCAGCTGGTGGACTCAAACTGCTAACATTTTGGTTAGCAGCCAAATGCTTTCACCACTGTACCACCAGAGCTCCCTTGGATAAGACAAGAGATCTGATTATGAAGGCTCTTTTAGCCAACGCAAAAGCATACCTTTTGCTGGCTGGCAATGAGGAACCAACTGAGGAAGTTTTAAGTAGGGGAATAGGAAACATAAATCTCATTTTGGAAAGGTCACTATAGAAAATGCATCTGAAAGATAGACTGAAGAGAGCTGAGGGTTGAGTCAGACCTCTAGAAGACTACTGCAATGGGCTAGGTAGAAGTCTGTGAGGTAGCTATATTATAACAAATCATAATGGTTATCTGTTCATTCATATTATGTCCCAACACCAGGGATATAGGAGAAAATAAGACAAAAGTTCTGCCCTTACAGAGCCTACAATCTATCAAAGAAGACAGACATTGAAAAAGTAATCAAAAGTGCCCACTGCAGAAATTCAACTTAGGGCTGATGAGGATGAAGCACTGTCTAGGTTAAAAAACTGAGTGTGGTTGAGAGGAGTATTCTGAGCAGGATATAGAAAGGTCCTGAAGCAATTTTTTTTTTTTTTTAAATATATAGTACATGAGATGAAGTGAAAGAAACCCTGGTTTAATATTACAGAAGACAGAGATGAGAATTACATTATGGTTGTGGTTCAGGTGGTCAGTAGAGGAAAACAAAGGCACAAGAAGGCAAGACGGTTATGGGTGCTTTCAAAAGAATAGCTGAGGTGATGAACCATGATGTCTGGGGTAAACAGGAAAGAGGAAAGGATTGCCATATTTTAAAAAGACAAAGAAATCAAGCAAGTTGAGAATACAAAGAGATCACAGAGTTGGGATATACCAGGGGAAAATAAAAAAAGTAGGAATTGTAGGAAGTTACAGATTTTGAAGGAAAAACCCTTAAGTGTGTGATGTTTTTCAAGCTACAATAAAGACAAAGTTTCGACTCCTTAAGGAAGAGACAGATGTTTAAAAAAATCCTTAAAAATTATGTATTTATAATTCAATACACTAACGATCCTGATTAAGAGATCAATGTGTTCCTGGAAAAGATAATTTTTAAAAATACATGTAATACAAAAACTTCACTTAATTAATTTTTGCCTTTCAAATATGATTTCTGTCAATATTTTGGTATATTTACTCAAGAACATTCATTTGAGCTATTTAGTCTTTAAATATTTCATGAAATTTCTTCAATGACTTGCAGGATTGCTTAATACAAAATTAATTATGTTTCTAACTAGAGATCTAAAATCTTATAAAGGAATTACTTACAGGGACATTAAGTGCATACTGTAGTCCTTGAGGAAGTCTTTCATGTGTCTCCATCTGCTCTTCATCATTTTTCACTGTCTCCTCATGGACCATGAGTTCATCGTGTGATATCATATCCTGTTGTCTCATTTCACTTTCTTGTAACACTTCATCTGCAGCAAGGATCTCCTGGTGAGGTATACTCCGATCTTGAAGCACTGACTCCTGCAGTTCCCCAGACACGGCAGATTGGCCAGACACTCCACCCATTACAACCATTGCCCTGGAAGACTGCATTTCGTCTATGCCGCCACATTTAAGAAACAATCCTTCCAGTTTGTCGTCAATGTTCATGCTTAAGTATAACTGCCTAGAAAGACCAAGTTTGGCAACAAAGCATAATAAATTAGTTTTATGTCTACTTCACTTTTTTAAACTCAATTATGAAAGGTACACATTTAAATAGAAAATGTTTATTTACATAATTCAGAATTGCCTCCAATTTTAAAATTATCAAGATAATTTCCAAAGGCTAGTAAACCACAAAGTTCCATTTTTTATATTAAGATTAAGCTAATTAATTAAGACTGATAGATTAAATCCTAATCTATTTCATTCATGAAAATATGAGCCTGACACAAAGCAAATTAGGGAAAAGTACTGGTAACATGAAACAAACAGTCCATTCTTTTAATCAGTATGTCTTAAAAGCAAAAATAAAAAGAGATGAATTCAAAAAGAAAGAACCAACAGATGGTATCAGGCAAATCATTTTAAAAAACAAACTTAGAACTACTTAAATATACAAAAGCACTCACTTACAGTAGCAATCAAAGAAATAAACATTAAAAACAGGTACCAAAAACTTCAATCACTGAACTGGTAATGATTCTTCTGAAAAATCCATCCAAGGTTGAGGTGGTTAAAAAGGGGAAGGGGACATTCATCCACTACTGGTAGAGCATAATAAATGACTAATTTTTTCCAAAGCAATTTGGTAGTATTTATCAAAAGCCATAAAAATGCTCACATCCTTTGAACAAGTGATTCTACTTTTAGGAACTTACTTTGATAAAATAAAAAATGTATATAAAGATACACATGGAAAATCATTACAGTAGTGTTTATAAACATGATAAACTAGAGACACTATACATTCAGAGATTAAAATATGTCCGTACAAATGTTTTAAAACTGGCCTACAGCAATGGCTGTATAGCTCAGTAAATTTACTCCAAATAATTGCATTGTACACTTAATATGGATGCATCTTATTGTATGCAAATTATGCCTCAATAAAGTCTTTAAAAAAAAAAAAATCTGAATTTCCCGATGCTTGGAGGAAGAGGAAGCTGCTGACAAGAAGCAGGAAGCTGGTGATGTTCTTTCTTGAGCTGAATGCTGGTTGCACAGGTATGCTTACTTTGTAAAAATTCAAGATGTACATTTGTGATATGTGCACTTTTCTGTCAGTTATTACAGTTCACTAAAAAGTCACTCTGTTGAAATAAAAACAATGTCCAGTCATTAAAAATATCCTTGAAAAGGATGTGAAGATGTGAGAAATTATCCCAATAGAGTAAGGGAAATAAGTATATATGTATGTGTAATTTATCTAAAACGTAATATAGCTCTAACACTACCACTGGTAGTGAAATTATCAGCTTGTCAATTTTCTTAAATTCTACTACTGCCATGTTTTAAAATTTGCTAAAAGTAGTAAAATTAGTGTTTCCATAACTAACATTCTTAAACAGTCACACAAGAATAAATTTAATAGATTATGATAAGAAATTAAGAACTAGAAGCTATTAAACACATTATCTTATTTTGTCTGATATTATAGAAAAGACAATGTTTTAAATCCACCCTAACAGTGGTTGCTGTGTAAATTCATATTTAATATTCTACTGGGTTAGTACACAAACTAACATAACAATAATCATGAAATTCAAAGATCAATCACCTCAAAGAAGATCAAAGTACTAGAACAAACTTTCTTTCTTAAAAACAATTTCTATATCAGACTGTGTGAAATAAACATTCACACATTACCCAAAGTGAAGGAATTATAATTAATAAACACATAAGCTGTATTTCAGTTCAGGCACCTCTTTCCCAAATTAACCACATAAACAATAGTTTTGGCCTTGAGTATAGCTTTCAGAGGTAACATACATGATCAGTAAAATTCAAATACACTGCTGGAATCTAAATACACTTTCATTTACTAAAGCTATAACCAAGGAGCTCTAGTAGCATAGTGGCTAAGGCACTTGACTGCTAACCAGAAGGCTGGTGGTTCAAACCCACCAGCTACTCCTCGGAAGGAAGATGGGGCAATCTACTTCCGTAATGATACTGCCTCGGAAACCCAAGGAGGGGTCGCTATGAGTCGGGTCCAACTCGACGGCACATAACAACAACAATAACCAAGGAAGAAACTTTAACCGAACCAATCAGAACTCTTATGAACAAAACAAAAACTAGCTCACACTTGCTTATCTTGTCCTCCCTGGTACCCGGTATTATCAGCCTGGAATACGTACAAGACAAAGGACCAAGAGTCTGATTTAATTTTTCAAAATCTTTAGGTAGCAAACTCAAAATCTAAAGAAAAAAGATTTTTAAAAAGTTATCAAACAACTACTCTCTTCAAATATTCTTTATCCTATTCCTTAGAGAATAAACTATAGCTAAATGAATTTTTTTTTTTAATTTTTTAAGGCTAAAATCTGCTTATTCTGACCATTTCTTTGGGAATCCTTACAAAATCAATTCTGCTCCTTTACTAAAATACGTACTGCATTCTTAAAGAGTTTGGAAAACCCCTAATTTAACAGGGACTTATACATACACAAAGCCCCTCTTATTGGAATTTTTTGCTGTTGCTGCAAATGTTATTGCTTGGGAGCATTTAGAGAATATGGGAGATGTTGTTGTTGTTATGTGCTGTTGAGTCGGCCCTGACCCATAGCGACCCCTCCTTGGGTTTCCGAGGCGGTATGTAGAAGTTACTAAAAAAAGACAAACTTAGAGAAGGTGACGTAAGCAGATTCTCAGGTTTAAAAGGAAAAAAAAAAAAAAAAGGCAAGCCAAACTGGAAGATAATTGGACCTAAACCAAGATCTACATTTCCCTAAACATTAGTCTCCAATGTTTTTGATCATGCATCCCCGTCAATTAAATGGGCATATTATTTAAAACTACATTCTTATATTATTGTGCCAATATATTTATACATATTAAAAACATATATAAGACATAATTTTTACTACCCTCCTCCCTAATATCAAGCTGAGACTACTTAAGTATTGAGAAAGTAGAAGTTCTGATACAGTACTCTGGATACAGAGAATATTTGGAAGAAAAAAGGCAAGCCTGGGTAGAATGTCAGGGTGGGGGACTCAGGGCAGGAAGGTAACACCTCATACAGAGGCAGTAAATGTAAAGGGGAGTGGAAATACCATAACTGTGAAACAAACCTGACCTCTTAAAAAATTCTCCTCAAATTTTTCTTCCTTTTTCCCACATGATTGCTTATTCCTACAGCTCCAAAATTAAGCCATACATTTTGAGTCAAATTGGCTAGCATAAAAATTGTCTTTTTGAAACAACTCCCTTGGACTACCAGAAACTATAACACATCAATACAGACTCTATTATCAGTGAACACTGTGCAAAGATTTTAAAAAGTGCCCTGGAGGACCAGGTTTGCTGGTCTGAGAAAACCAAGTGGAACCACTGAAACTATGGTTCCTAGCTGTCCTTCAGGTCTGGAATTGAACCCATACCTGTGGCTTCCAGCCAAACAAAAGACAGGCGTAAGAGTTGAACATGTACCTGAGGTAGATATACTCCTTGGAGAGAACAATCATGGGAGAAAGAAGGGCTGTTTGTTTATCCACAGGGAGACAGTTCAGGGGGCAGGAGTGCATGGAGGGATGGACACAGGGAAGAGGTGACTATCAAGAGGAAGCTGAAGGGGAGCTGTTACATTGGGGTAAGTTGAAGTCAATGTCATGAGACAACATGTGTGTGAACTGCTATACGGAAAGTGAATTTCCTCTGTAAACTTTCACCCAAATCATAATTTAAAAAAAGGGGCGGGGGGAGACATGCCCTGGAAACCATAGTTGCAGGGGACATCAAGATCAACTGGCATAACATACTACACAAAACATTGTTCCATATCCTACTTTGGCGAGTAGCAACTGGGATCTTAAAAGCTTGCAAGCAGTCATCTAGATGCAACAATGGGTCTCTCCTTGTCCACAGCAAAGAAGAATAAAGAAAACCAAGATAGCATGGAAACAATTAGTCCTAGCGACTGGTACACCATGTGATCTTCAGCGTATATGACTATGAGACCAGAAGAACTAGATGGTGCTCAGCTACCAATGTCAACCACTCAGAGGAGGATCTATGTAGGAGATCCTGGATAGAGTGGGAGAAAAATGTGGAACGAAACTCAAAATCATTTTTTAAAAAAAGGGACTAGGTTTGCTGGTCTGACAGAGCCTGGTAGAACCACTGAGACTATGGCCCCCAGCTGCCCTTCAGATCTAGAACTGAACCCACTCCTGTGGCTTCCAGCCAAATAAAAGGCAGGCATATGAGCTGGACATTTACATTAGACCTTGATACACTCTTTGAAGAAAACAGTCATGGGAGAATAGAAGGGCTGTGTATACACAAGGAGACAGCTCAGGAGGCAGAAGTACATAGAGGAAAGAACACAGGGAAGAGGTAACTATGGGGAGGAAGTCAGGGAGCTGTTGCATTATGGTAAAATGTAGTCAATGTCATGAGACAAAGTATATGTGAACTGCTGTATGGAAAGTAAGTTTCCTCTGTAAACTTTTACCCAAATCACAATTCAAAAAAAAAAAAAAAAAAAAAACGCACCTTAGAAATATCTATCAAAATTAAAACCCATCAATCCAGCAACCTCACCACTAGGTTGCATGGGGTAACAACCCCATGAGTTTCATAGAAGTTCACCAAAGACTTCTGTACAAGGATGTTTGGTGCAACACTTTAACAAGAAAAGAATAAAAACCACCAAAGTGTCCATTGATAGGAAACTTATTAATTATGATTCACCTACACAATGTCATAACTAAAAGAATATGGTAACTCTACATGTACTAACAAAAAGTTCTCCAAAATATGGTAAGTGAAGAAGAAAAAAAAATCAAGTGAAGAACTATGTAGACAGATTCTTTTAAAATTTTTTAAAAGGTAAATAGCTCGATCAACAGTTATTCTACAAATGAACTTTTTTTTCCCTTCAAAGAAACTTAAAGGGGCCTTTGGGAAGTGAGGTAAGAAAGGAGCTACAGGAAGAACACCTTCAATTTTTTATTT